TCCTATGGAACCAAGTAATCCTTTGCGTCAAGACAGTGAAGAACCTCTTCTCAGTGATCCTTTAGTGTATCGCAGACTTGTTGGTAAACTAATGTATCTTACCATCACCAGGCCGGACATTACCTTCACTGTCAACAAGCTTTGTCAATATTGTTCTGCTCCTAAAGATTCTCATCTTCAGGCTGCCTATAAGGTTCTTCATTACTTGAAAGGCACCATTGGACTGGGGTTGTTCTACTCTGCCACGAATGATCTGGTTCTCAAAGCCTTTACTGATGCTGATTGGGGTGCTTGTAAAGATACTAGACGCTCCACCAGTGGCTACTGCATGTTTCTTGGCTCTTCCTTGATCTCATGGAAGTCAAAGAAACAAGATACTGTATCTCATTCCTCGGCTGAATCCGAATACAGAGCAATGAGCTTTTGGTGTTCGTGAAGTGCAGTGGCTTGTTAACTTGTTACGGGAATTTGATGCTCCTCAGCAAGATCCTGTGGCTTTCTTTTGTGATAATACTGCAGCCATTCATATAGCCAATAATGCGGTTTTTCATGAGCGAACCAAACATTTGGAATCTGATTGCCACAAGGTCCGCGATATGGTTGAAGTTGGCTTGATCAAGACATTACATGTCTCTACTGGCAATCAGATTGCAGACATTTTCACCAAACCATTACACTCTGGTCACTTTCATTCTCTTGTGGGCAAGATGGGACTACTTTCCATTACGTCGCCATCTTGAGAGGGGCTATTAGAGTATTGGTTAAATCCGGTTCAATGCAATTGTATATTAGTTAGTTTGGTTAGCTTATTCCGGTTACCAACGGCTATATATATTTCTTGTTTTGTAACTGACACCTGATCATCAATAACAAACTTTCTCTTGATGACGATTCTGTTGAATCTTCTTCTTCTTCGTCACTCGTCTAACAATGGATACAAGGTGAAAGCTTAAACATGGAAACATAGATTTGGACCTTCTTGTGTACACTTAGATGTTAGGATGGAGCGAAAAAAATTTGAAAACAAAGATAACATGTGTCGGTAGACGCGCTACTCAATTTGTCTATTGGAAGGAACATCAACAGAGAAATCTCCATAGTTTCTACAGAAAATTTTACGATGTATATTTATATATATACATCAGTTTGAATTCTGAAAGGGTAAATATTTGCGTATATGTTTAAAATTATGGGTAATACTATCATGTTAATTTAGAAATGGAAGCCCTTCAATAGAGTCTAACCCTTCTAGTTTGTTTTATAGTGACTTTGTTAAAGTTGTATATTAAATATTTAAGATTTTAAAGTTGTTTTACATACGATCAAAATTTATATCAGTGATCTTCATATCCGAATTTTTGAAAACACATTATGTGTATGGACTAATTAAATATTCAATCTTACATTAAATATATCTTGAGTGTTTGCAAAGCGAAATAGTTAAAAAAAATTACTGTGTAATCTCTCAAAAAAACATTATTGTGTAGATTTAGTGAGATTTGAATATTTTTTTGGGATAACTGAGTGATATTATAATAGATTGAAGATGAAATCTTGTAAAAAAAAAAAAAAAGATGAAATCTTGTATAAAAAATAATGAAAAGATGATGAATATCGTCTTATACTATACGAAAAGAGAAACAACTAATAAATAATAAATCTATCTATGCAAAAAATAAAATAAAAAAAATAAATCTACATATGCTGGCACCAACGTCTAACTCGCCGTTGAGAAACCACCAGAAGTTTTGTTCTTAACTTATTCCACAAAGATCATCATAGATGCAAAGACATAATAACAACTTTTGTCTTAATTTTGAGAAGAAGAAAAAACAACTTTCTCAATTCTCTCTTGTAACTGATGCTTTGTTTCAAGAGAATTTTACACTCTAAGACACTTTTTGTCTTTCAATTTACCCTATTAGACACAAGTTGTTGGACACACACTTTATGTGTGGATAAATGTCAATATACCCTTCAACAAATTTGTTCTTTCGTTACTTCATGTGTCAAGCCAAACAATCTAGTTTGGTTTTATTTATTTTATTTAATTTATTAGCTTTTTAGTTTTTTTTTAGTTAGTATACCTTATCTCTTTCTCAATTTCCACGGTTCATAAGGCGAAATCAAAAACTAATTAGCAAACTGGAATCATACACTCACACTTCTAAATTCCAATCCAAAAACTTATCGGAGC